TATTAAATCTATAAATATTTTATAATCATTTGAATACTTATCTATTAAAATAATTAGCTATTTTATAAAGTCCATCATCTTGAGAATTAGCAACTTCTAAATACGTATCAAATATCTATACAAAGACTGTCATGTTGTGTTGGAAAATTATTTTAAATGCGCATACAAACTTAGATTCCATTTTATCACATTTCTTGTATCCTTATGCATCTATATTTAATTTCTTGTATTGACGTCTTCATCTAAATTTTTTTTAATCAGGATAAAATCATTATGATATCTAAAACTTGGCAGAATATAACCATTTCTACATGGTCTATATTAACGCACTTTGTAGATAAAAAAAATCATATTTAACGTTACATGTAACTAGGTCCCAAATTTAATGAACTTTGATTTTTTTTTAAGTTTATGATTTTTCAAAGTGCGTTGCAACACACACCTTACTCTTCTTGTCGTCCACCAATAGAGCTAAAATGATGGATATCTATCCATCCACTTTACAGAATATCAATTGAAATTATCTGCTGTTTTTAACATTTTTTATTGTATAATTTATACAATGGGATTGGTTGCAAGTTCTTGCAACTTAAAAAACCTAAAAAATTATCTGCTATCAGTAATCCCCTAAATTGACCAAAGTTTCAGCTGTAAACTTATATGTAAACTCTGTATACTGTTTAGTACAGGATGATTACAAAGGTTTTTAATTTTGATTGATGTCAGGCGAGCTTCCAGTTGACCTGATCTGAAATTCCTCTTTAATTTCTTGAACTTGAGTTTTCAGATACCCAACTTCCGTTTGCACTTGTGTTCTCAAATTTTCATTTTCTACTTGAACTTCCATTCTCAAGTTTCCAACTTCCCTTTGGACGTCCGTTCTTAAGTTTCCAAATTCTGCTTGAACTTCCGTTTTCAAATTTCCAACTTCCGTTTTTAAATTTCCAACGTCCGTTTGCATACTCTGTAATGAAGATTGAATATTTCTTTGTTGGTTTTGCACATCTGATATTGACGATTGCATACCTGTTATTGAAGTTTGCAATTTCAACAGTATTTCTCCTAAATTAATATCAGATGTAGCATTACTCTGAGATGCTAACTCTGAACTTAAAGGATTGTCTGACACTGTAGAGGTGTTTACAGAGGTCAAGGGAGAACATGGCTTCAATCTATGAGGACGACCAAAAGAATCCAAAATTCTGGTCATAGGCGTCACAAAACAGGACCCTTTGGTGGTAGAACCTATGGCCATCCCAATACAGCTTAGTGTCTTATCAGGGTTAATACAAAACACAAAGGCTCCAGAATCACCAGGCTCAAAAAACGTTCCATGAGGAAGGCTCTGAATTTCAATTTGGTTGCACATAACTGCAATGGTTTTGTCTGGCAAGTATCCAGTATCGTCCACAAAGCGGATATGCGCTCCATTAAAGTAGAGATTTCCAATCGTGAATTTTGTTTTACTCCCGTATTTTACGACACTATCAGATTTATCTGGTATTCTGTTGCTGACTTTGAAAACAGGGTCAGGATCTGGTACATTAACAACTTCTCCAGAAAATATGGGCGGATAATTTGGGTCAAAACCTGGAATTGAAAAACAAAATTGTAAACGTACCAATTCTATTTGAATCTTCATAAAATGCTCTTTTAAACAAAAAACCTCTTTCTGTTTAAATCTTTAGTGAATAATTTAACAAAAGATAAAAGACAATTTACATTGATATTTAAAAAAAAGGCACATTATAGATTTTCCCTATAGATTTCTTTTTTAAACTTGGATTCCGTATTGTGACCTGCCTTACTCACGGGGCCTTGTTTTTAACAATTTAGAATCAACACCACCCAAGGATGCTTCCACATAGTAATTTTAAGCTTTTCTGGTCAAATGTACTTGAAAAGAAGATTTTTAAAGATTTTTCCTATCTATACTCACCGTCAATGAAAACGCAACACTCTACTTTTAGGGTGAACAAGCAAATTCAAGGAAATGTGGTCCCCCGCTTTCGGTGTCTTTGTGGGTGAAATGTCATTTTTTATGACATATTGTGTGAGATATGAACAGCCTATCAAATGTCATTTATTTAGAAATCATCACTGAACTCCAAGGTCAAGGTCAAAGAGTTAAAGTGTTTGGTATCTGATGAACAGTCTTTTCACAAAGATTACATATGTCCAAGGTCAACTTCAAAAGTTCAAAAATATGATATCAAATGAAAGGTCTTGTCACAAAAAATACATATGTGAAATATGAAAGTCCTAGTATCTACTGTTCAAAAGTTGTGGCAAAGGTCATAGTTTTTGAAAAGTAGGCCAACCTCCAAGGTCAAGGTGAAAGGTCAAAGTTCTTGAAATCCAATGAAAGGCCTTCACACAAGAATTACATATATGAAGTATGAAAGCCCTAGCCCGTACCGTTCAAAAGTTATGGTCAATGTTAAAGTTTTTTCATAAGTTCGGAAATCTCCAAGGTCAAGGTCATAGGGTCAAAGTTGTTGATATCAGATGAAAGGTCTTGCCACAAAAAATATATATATGAAATATGAAAGTCCTAGTATGTACTGTTCAAAAGTTGTGGCAAAGGTCAGAGTTTTTGAAAAGTAGGTCAAACTCAAGGTCAAAGGGTCAAAGTTCTTGATATCCAATGAAAGGCCTTCACATTACATATATGAAGTATGAAAGCCCTAGCCCATACCGTTCAAAAGTTATGGTCAATGTTAAAGTTTTTTCATAAGTTCGGAAATCTCCAAGGTCAAGGTCAAAAGGACAAAGTTGTTGGTATTCAATGGAAGGTCTTGTCACAAAGAATATATATGTGAAATATGAAAGTCCTAGTATCTACTATTAAAAAGTTATGGCCAAAGTAAAAGTATAAAAATTTTTGTGTAAAAGTGGGTCAAACTCCAAGGTCAAGGTCAAAAGGTCAAATTTGGTGGTACCCAAAGAAAGTTCTTATCACAAGGAATACATCTGTGAAATATGAAAGTCATAGCTCCACTAAATTAAAAGTTATGGGCAAGGTTAAAGTTTTTGTGACGGACGGACTGACTGACGGATAGACGGACAGACGAATGAGATTTAATGTCCCCTCGCTTTCGCGAAAGCGGGGGACAAAAATTATATACGGGATATAACTATGTACCAAACAAGTTACATGAAGGACATCTCTACTTTGCTAAATCAGTTATTTAATGGTTGAATGGTTTTCATTCATTACCGAAAGTTGATTTTTTAGCCCTCTTAATAGATAACATTTGAATAAAACAACCCCCATACCCTTCCGACCATTTAATCAAAACATGCTAGTCCGCCATGTACAACATACATGTACGCAGTCCGATTTTTACCATGCATTAGGTTTATCAATGTCTCTATTTGAGCAAAATGAATATTCTTTGGCATTTTAAGTGCCTGTTGTTCACATACTGCGGTCGAATTTTCTCTACCTTGGCGTAGTGTAGAACTCTTGAACTTCCGGTCAGGAAACTGTTATTTATGCTATTGAAACACATGGGCCTGATGAGTCCTTAAATAGTGTACATTTGCATCTGCAGGTCGTTTTTTCTTTCTGTTGAGAATCCCAAGCATTAGCAATGAAAATCAGTCATTTTGAGGAAATATAGGCATCACATCCGGTAAAGAAAGAAGGGTTTTTCCCCGGAATTTTAGTACAATACTTATGATAAACAGCTACAAAACCTTGATAACCCAAAATATTGTTAAAAATTTTATTAAAAATGTAAAATTTTGATTTCTGTTAAGAGGGCTAAAAACAACTTCCGGTATAGGAAAGAAATTCATTCAACCGTTTAATAACTGATTTGGCAAAGTAAAAGATATCATAACATTTTTGGTGCATAGTTATAACCCGTATATACTCTTCAGATCACCACACAGTAGAGTGTTGCGTTTTCATTGACGGTGAGTATATTTCTATATAAATTAATTTCACTTGTATCAAGCAATTTTAATGGCTGAATCATTCAGAGAAACATATAACATTTTGTCTAACATAACTTGCCTACGTCACAATGAGGTACGTCAAAAACGTTTTACTCTGTATGGCGTTACTTTTAAAATATTGCTCAATTTGAAGCCTTTTCCCGGACGAAATATTGTTTCATTGTCAACACTGAAATTAAATTATAAGGAATGCAGCTAATTTCAACTTATGTTATCCGATATAACAGAATTGGGGCAGTTTACGCTTTCTTATAAACCGCTTCGCGGTTTATAAAGCGTAAACTGACCCAAGTTATGTTATATCGGATAAAATAAGTTGAAATTAGCTTCATTCCTTATATAATACTTGGATTCCATATTGTGACCCTGTCCCACCCTGGGGGTCAAGATTTTAACAAGTTAGAATCTACACGACCCCATATACGTTTCACATTTTGTGGACCAATGGTTCTTAAAAAGATCGTTCAATCGACCCACTCAATAAGTGTCTTTTCTTGATTATTTCTCCTTGAAGGGAGACTTGCCCCTTCATTTTAATAATTTAATTCCCCTATAACAAAATGATGCTTTATACTAATTATAAGTTTGGTTTAAATTAGTCCAGTGATTCTTGAGAAGTTAAAGATGTAAAAAAAATTACACACGGACGGATACCTAGACAAAAGGACTACGGACAATTTCAACAGGTAATCAGAAGGGCTCATTTGAGCTTTAAGCTAAGGGCTAAGGTGAGTTAAAATAAAAACCGACAGGGCATTCTGCTCGTGTTATCCTATTCCGCATATTCTTTGATGACTATAGAGAACAAAATATGTTCATAAAGCTTACCTGCTGAATAAAGTTGATCAGTGACGGGAAATCCAAATTCATTAACAGTAGGGTCAAGTTTGATCAAAGCAGCATCAACTGAATTGTTATTAGATGATAATGGAAAACATTTATCAATAATTGTGCCACATACTTGAAAATTATGCTGATTCTTATCAAAAAATTCTACGTTTAGATCAATCCCTTTGCCCAGTACAATGTTATGCATTTCACTATTTGGTATTATCAATTCATCTGATGAAAACACAACGTGGGCACATGTTATTAAACCAACTGCATTATTTGGCAAATCAACAAAACCCCCAATACTTCCATGTCCAGGCGTGTTTATTCCTCTTGCACGCCGAATATGTCCTCCAAAATCTATAGATCTACCACTTCCCAAAGAACAATATCCCTCCTGCACATCTACATCATGCCCATTGATTACTTTTGGAAACTCTTTTTCTCCAATTGGTATAAATCCTTTATGTAGACATAATAGACTAATACATAGTTTTTCGACAACCCTATGCTTTCCTGTTAAATACCCTGTTGACTTAAATGGGGATGCTGATATCAGGGTTAAGTTGGAATGCTTCTTAAAAAGTTTTCTTGCTTCCTTTTCTGCAATAAGAGGCAAGTTTATTGCGGAAGAAGCCATAAAGGAATTAAATACAGTATAAGCCTCATCAGATGGTTGTGTATAATTATACAGTACGAGTTTTACCCCCATGGCTTTCTCCGGGATTCCGTCTTTCATCTCTATAATTCCTCTGTATGACATCATCATCACAAGCCGACCTCCTGGACTAGATTCATAACAGAACGATAGACTGATTGCATTTTGTCTAAGCCTTGGACAGGTGTTTAAAATCATGCATTTCGCTGCTTGCAAAAGGGTTTCAATAACAACAGAATTTATCTTCCTGCCTTCAAAACGTGTTTGCAAATTAAAATCAAAAGCGAATATGTATCTCCTCACAAGCTCTAAAATGAAAATGTGGTTTTCATTTTTGATAGCGTAATCCATGCAGCAATCAATAATCAAAGGAATGTTTTTCGGCTGGAACTCTGATATTTGTTCTTTTATATGCGCGGCAAATAAAATGGATAAAATATATCGACATTTTGCAGACTGTACTTTCCGGAAGACTTCAGCACAGTTAATCATCCAGCCTAAATCTTCATCAAAATAGACTTGAAGGAATGGTTCAGAACCTTGAAGCTGCTTTTCGTCACTACTCAAATCAAAATCTGAACAGTCAAGGTAATCAACTCCCTTAATGATGTCTTCATATTCATTCGTTTTCCTCTGGCCTCTTTGATACTTTTGAGAATACGTTTGTTCTATATTTAGAGAATCAATAAGTTTTTTAATTCTCATTGAAGCTTCTCCGGTTTTTCTGAGCTGTTCAAGTTTTTTACTGAAAGACGACAGCTCTGTCTGTTTTGTCTGAAGAGGGGTCCTCCCTGAAATCTCTGCAAGTTATGATTATGTACAATTTTATAACAATAACAATGATTGAGAATCAAAGTGCAATGTAAAACTTATCACCTATTGTTGTCTTTGTTTTCGTTTACGGGGATAACGAAAGAAAAGACATGCATGCCGCATATGGTTATGTAGATAAATTATCATAGAAGACAATGGTAAAACATATTTCCAATGCATTTCCTCAGAAATTTGAAATAAATGAGTGTTTTTCTGAGGAGGGAGTACTGAGTGTAATTTGGAGTTAGATGCCTTGTGTTAGTATTATGCTATAGGTTTAAAATTTATTTCCGAAACAAGTGCCTGTGGTGCATAAATGTAAAAAATAGTTATTAGAAGCAATTTACAAACTTTAAATATAAGGAGACAATACTCGTCAAGTATATCTGAACATCATTTAATTTGAATTAGTGGCCTATAAAGGTCATTTAAATGTAGAATTAAAAGATTTTTCTCCAAATGAAAGGATAAAGTAATATGAGAAAGAAAATCAAAACGAAACATACTACCAATTTTTATCTCCTCTTCACATTTGCTTGTAATCAGTTTTGTTTCTATGTATTTTTTATGCATGAATGATTCAACATCGTAGGGAACTGTGGTCTGTTTTTCTCCATGTTGCTGTTGAGCTAAATTAAAATTCAGCTTGATGGTGTCATCAGAGAAATCACTTCCTGTCCTCTTTTCCTTACCAGCATCTGGGAAAGTAAACACATTTTAATAAAATTATCTATAATAAATTCTTTACAAATACACAATAGATAGTAAATTCACAATTTAATTGAAATATTTTATTGGAATCTATTACTTATCACGGCTTTAGGGGGCCAATGGTTTCCAATATTTCACGCATCATAGTACAATGAAGCGTATAACCTATTTTAAGGTAATTCCACCCTCCTATGATGTCATATGTTTTTGCAAAAACTGTAATAAGTTTAAATTCATACCTTTTATAATAATATTTCTTGGAAGAATGCTTTACAATAGGTGTAATTATGATAAATATTGTTTAGTTAAAGAATTTTAAAAATGCATATTTTCTATATTTAATCAATAATTCAATCTTTAAAAAATGTTGACAAGGGCAATAACTCCTTCTAAGGTCTCTTCATTCAGGCATTTGCTATTTTGTAAAAAAAATTTCCCTTATATTCACAATTTATAAGAATCTTTTAAGTAGGAAGTATTTAGGAACACTCAGCATCAGAATTATGCATTTTAACCAGTTTTTCCATATTTTTCATTATACTGTTTACAAAAATGTGATTTTTTAACGTTTACATACACTTCTGTTTATTTATGTTTCTCATATCAAATAATATGGTGACCTATACATTTTTTGCAATAATTGGAAAGTTTAAAGTATATTAAATGAAAATAAATGCAGTTTTAGTACTTTGAACCTACAAAATTGTGAGAGTGGAAACACCTTCAAGCAATTGTTTGCTTAATTATTAAAATTAAAGGAAATTAAGAAATTGTTGGTGTTAAACTGTTATTATTATTTTATATAACTGATTTTTTTTTTTACCAATTATGCAATTCAAAGTTAGATTGACGCCGTAACAGTGTGTTTCTGACGTAATGTTAAACTGAGTATCTTACAGAACGTGGTGATAGATATGTTATTAAAGAAAAACTAATAAACATACGCTTTTCAAATTTTAAGTAGACAAATTGGAGAATATGTCCATTATTTTAACAATGATTTCATATGAATTCCTTGCGCTCGTAATATTTTGTAGCACTCTATCAAACAAGAATATTCGTTTATTGTTTTTAGCATTTGGAGACACCCCCTCTGGTAAAAGATGGTAGAATTTTGCATTTTACATATATTTTATGATACAGTATTACTCATCAAATACAGTACCGACCGGACACAACCTACCGGAAAGCGAACCCGGAGTGGACCCCGGGTTCGCTCTCTGGGTCCGCTCCGGGTTCGCTCGGGGTCCGCTAGGGCTGACCCCGAGCGAACCCGGAGCGGACCCAAAGCGAGCCCGTAGCGGACCCCGAGCGAACCCGAAGCAGACCCAGAGAGCGAAACCCAAATTCAGTAGCGGTCCCAGAGAGCGAACGCGGGTTCGGTATTTCTTTACAGAGCTGTCAATCAGGATTAGCGATTAACCAATCAGCGCATCAACCAATCAAAATAGCATGTTGATCTGTCGATAGGGATATAAGATCGAACGTGTTGATTTAATTCGATATAAATCCAAACACTGTACATGTATATATGTGTGAATGTGCTGTGTAAATATATTATGATTATTAAAATATTATTAAATATTTATTCATTATTTTAATTCTCCAGGTTGTATTTTATATTTATATATTTATTTTCTTTTTTATTAAAGCAAATAATTAATTACATGTTTTAATTTTCCACGTAGAATTATACATGTTTATTTACGTTTTTATTTTCTTTAGTTTTTTTATACCAGTATTTAAAGTCCATTTAGTAAATAAGTTTGGTAAATACATCAGTCAATGCATAAAAATTGAAATCAATTGATATAACAATTTTTACTGACAAAAAAGCAGAAAAGAAATATAGTTGGTCTTCGACAATTATTGTAAAATTTCATCATCTCAAGATACTTACAGTTCAGTTCGCTATGAAATACATGTACGTCTGGTTTATCGGGGTATACTCAGGTGAAGTGCGATTTACATAATTGATGAACGAATTAATCACGCTAATTAATCAAGGCGTTTAGTTAATCGTATATTGTTTCATTCTCTCAAAATGGCGTAACTATACTTGACAAAGAATACTC